ACCGTAAATATTAAACTGTTGCGCTACTAAAGAGAAGTAGGAAGGATCTCCTGAAGTGGGAGACAGATGGAAAATCCACACTCAAGAAGAACAATAGAATCACAGAATTGTAGGGTTGCTAGTGAGCCCACCTGCCTGCAGTGCAGGAATCACAGCTAAGAACTGGGCTCCATGGCCTGGCTAGCAGACTGCTCCACCTCTACCTGCACCCCACTAGGAAAGCCTTCGCTCAGGGACAGAGCACCTGCTATGCATGCGGAAGGTCAAGGTTCAATCCCAAATGGCAGCATTTCCAGGGAAGGCTGGAGAAACCTTGCCTGAAACCTTGGAAAGCAAGTGCTTATAGTCCGTGTAGATCATGGGTAGGCAAATTAAGGCCTTCTAAATCCGGCCCGCGGACGGTCTGGGAATCAGCGTGTTTTTACATGAGTAGAATGTGCCCTTTTATTTAAAATGCATCTCTGGGTTATTTGTGGGCCATAGGAATTCGTTCTCCGCTCCTCAAAATATAGTCCGCCCCCCCCACAAGGTCTGAGGGGCAGTGGACCGGCCCCCTGCTGAAAAAGTTTGCTGACCTCTGGTGGAGAAAATATGGGCCGACCACCGAGCCCCCCCCCCCGGGCTGGACACTTACTGATGATGGCAGGAGGAACCTAGCCTGTTTATGGAGACAGGAGGATAAATGGGGTGTGTGTGGTGGGTGCCTGGCTTATTGTAGAGATTCAAAACTCTGCAACGACCGTCTTAAGGGTATGGTAGTAAAACCCACGGCAACCCCAGACCCAGCAAAACTTCTTAAACACCTCCTCACTAACCAACAATACCAGGAATTAGAGCCAGAAATCCTCCTGGCACAGGAGCCAAATCCTAGGGGTCTCCCTTACCCACCAGTTGATGGGCGTTGCCTTTCAAATGGTGTGGGTGCACAGCATCATGTGATCGATTATGGGGCGGGGCTTAAACCCCCTCCCCCCCCCCCGCCCCATTATATTGTATTCAACTTGGCACGCCTGCTTCGTGGAAACCTGACCCAAGCAAGCAACCCGCCCAAGCCTTGAAAAGCTTCCAGGCGGCTGAACCTCGGCATGAGGGTCCTCGCCGCCCCTCGGGGAGTCTCTGGGTGCGCAACTGCTACGGCCGGGGGAGCCTCGCTCTCCGCTCGGCTGGCCGCGCCCGGACTCTCCCTATTGCTGCCGAGGGAAGCGGCTTTCCTCCGCGGAGACTTACTGTGCCAAAGCGAGCAGGCGAGGAAGACGGAGAGGAGGAGGAGGCCGGGCTTACTCCGGGGACCCCCGAAACCCGTCCCGCCGTCGGCCATCCGGAGAGTCGGGAACGAAGGGCGCCGGGCCCTGCCGGGAAGAGGCAACAAGGTCGAGCGGCCCGCTTCCCTCCTTCTGCCAGTGCCAGCCCGGCCGCCAGGCGCGGAGCCAGGCGAAGCGGAGCTCAGGAGACGCCCGCCCGCCCCCGCTAAGCTTGACCTGGCTGCCCGTAGTGCCGGAGCCCCTCCCACTGCTGCCTGCTTGGGCGACGGGCTGCTCCGCTCGGTGGGTGGGGAGGAAGGGCGGGCCTCCCTCCGCGCGTCCCGGGGCGGCTCTCTGAGCAAATTCGGCCAGCGTCCGCCTCGTCCCGCCTCCCCCGGGGTTCCGGCCAGCGCTCGTGCGCAAAGCGAAAGGGAATCCCGGAGGGGAGAGGGCCCGGGGAGGGGGGGCGGAGACCCGACGGCGACCGGGAGCCCTTCGCGACTCGCCGACTCCAGCCCCCTTGGGCCACGCGCCCTCCGCTGCTACGGCTGCTGTCCGGGAAGCGCTGGGTTACGCCCCGGCCCTCCTCCTCCTGGGGCGATTTGCATGCCGAGCCCGGCCCCTTCCCGCCTTTGCGGGGAATTCCCAGCCAGCCTGGAAGCCCTCCCTGGCGGGGCTCGCACCAAACTCGGCTACAACAGACTGCGATCGGTGTCTCCTGAGCATGTGCAGAGTGCTCGCGGCGCGGGACGACCACGCCAGCCCCGGGGTATGTGCGCGCAGCCAAGTCAGTCCGGGCTCTGGAGTCGTGGCGCTGCAACCCTTTTGGTCTGTTTCAGCTGCAGCTGGGCTCATCTACTCTTATTACATTTCCTATAAGAGCAGGTGAAAGTTGACCAGGTAGATCATTGGAGGGGTGGGGGAGAAGCAGGAGTCTGTGGGGCCCAGGAGGGGTGCTAAGAAGGAAGAGGTGGGTTTTTTGGAAGTAGAAAGGTAGGAAATGGCTTAACTGGTGCTTGCATCAAGGTTTCCACATGCACCTCCTCTTCCCACTGAACAGTACTGTCACTGGGATGCAGTTACTCATTGACAAGTTAGCCAGTGTGCTGGAGTGGATCTTCCTTATTTAGACCTTTTCTGTATTGCCTAATTATAGATAGGCAGCCACGCCACCTTATACTAAGTCAGACCATTGTCTACACTGATTGGCAATCGCTCCCCAAGGCTTTCAGGTAGGGTGTGTCTCTCAGCCCTACCTAGAGATGCTGGGGACAAAAATGGAATGGCAGAAAAAATTATTTGAGTACGCTGAGATGGCAAGTATAATGGGGAAAGTTAGGAATCATGGCCACCAAAAATTTAACACAGAATGGGACAAATACAGATAATGCCTTAAAGATCGTTGTAAACATCTGAAATCTGAAATGACTCCTGCCTGCAAGGTGACATAACTTATGGATATATTAAGGTAAAGGTAAAGGTACCCCTGCCCGTACGGGCCAGTCTTGACAGACTCTAGGGTTGTGCGCCCATCTCACTCAAGAGGCCGGGGGCCAGCGCTGTCCGGAGACACTTCCGGGTCACGTGGCCAGCGTGACATCGCTGCTCTGGCGAGCCAGAGCCACACACGGAAACGCCGTTTACCTTCCCGCTAGTAAGCGGTCCCTATTTATCTACTTGCACCCAGGGGTGCTTTCGAACTGCTAGGTTGGCAGGCGCTGGGACCGAACAACAGGAGTGCACCCCGCCGCGGGGATTCGAACCGCCGACCTTTCGATCGGCAAGCCCTAGGTGCTGAGGCTTTTACCCACAGCGCCACCCGCGTCCCTTATGGATATATTAGATAAATACAAATTAGATGTTATTCAATAAGCAGTTAATATAGAATTGTAGAGGACCCACGTTCAGGTGGAGGGAAGTCTTGTTACTTTACTATATCTTTGATGGAGAGTGATAATTGGGATGTATACTGAAAAATCAATAAAGATTAAATGCAATTTTTAAAAAAATAATAATGCTGGGGACTGAACCTGGAACCTTCTACATACATACAAAGCAGACACCACTGAGCTGCAATGACCCTTCCCTGACTACAGTGGTACCTCAGGTTACAGAAGCTTCAGGTTACAGACTCCGCTAACCCAGAAATAGCATCTCGGGTTAAGAACGTTGCTTCAGGATGAGAACAAAAATCGTGTGGCAGTGGTGCGGCGGCAGCGGGAGACCCCATTAGCTAAAGTGGTGCTTCAGGTTAAGAACAGTTTCAGCTTAAGAACTGACCTCCGGAACGAGTTAAGTTCTTAACCAGAGGTACCACTGTATATATAAAAATAACTATGTGAACATATCTCTAAAGCAGTATGCTGAAAGCGACAGGTATTACAGAACCACACAATAAAACCATCAGGACTAGTTTCTGATAAATAAATGCTGCTATCAATTCCTTCACCTTCGGATACATCTCCCCACTCAACCCCTCCCACCAGCCTGGGCTCAAACAAACACAGGTCACTCCAAAAACCTCAGAAGAAAGGGGGCTTCCTGGAACCTGCTGACACTGCCCTAGTCTTGCTTTTACGAATAGACCCCATGCAGACTGTACTGTGTCCTGTTCAGGACTCAGCTTACTTGCACTGCACACACCCGGGTCCAGGAGGCAGCAGGTTTCGTTTGGTGAGTTTCCCGGGGGGTCCAAAGGGTGGTGCATAAAACTGAGTATAGGGGTGTCCTTTCCCTGGCCTCTGCATCCCTCTCATCCAAGGACCTTGGGCCACTTGCCATTTCTCAAGCTAGCGTACTTCACAGGTTTTCTGGGAAGGTAAAAGAGGATTCTCGCATGCACAGCACCCCCAGCTCCTCAGAATGACCTTGCTCCCCTTCACCCCACACCCCTCGTTCTGGCCCGAGTTGCAGTTCATTTCAGTGTTATTGCAGGTCAGCATGTATCTGTGAGAAACAGTGGTTTGGTATCTGTCCATCTTCAGGCGTGTTCTTGAGGGACTACATGGCACAGAAACACACATGCACAACAAAGCCTGTGTCATAGCTGTCAATTTTCAGATTTGAAAATAAGGGATCAGCAGCCTCACCTGTCCCGGGGACAGTATACGGGATATCTAACAATCCGGGATAGCAGCGGGAAGCGGCGCTGGAATAAGGGAATTTCCCGCAAAAAAAAGGAAGGTTGACAGCAATGGCCTGTGTTAGTGTACTCTTTAATATAGTTCAGTCCAGGTATGAGGCGGGAGCCTTGCAAAGCTTGTGCTGCCTGCCAAGTCAGTTCCTGGAAGGGGTAGAGGCATAGGGGGCCCAATGAGTTATTCTTTCCAAATCAACTTTAAGGGTGCCAAGCACAACTCCCTTGGACCTCTGTGTGTGAAATTTGGCAGGCTTCATCCCCTGAAAAGGGGATGCTAAGCTCACAGATCCACCCATTTCTGCCTGAAAGGAGAAAAGGGTTAATAATTTGGTGCTCCCCTAGTATTGTTTTCTGTTATCAGCAGCCCAATTTACAATAGCCCGATATTGGAAACAAAAGTGTAATTAAAGGCACTTCAAGGATAGACACTTTTGGTGATGTTGACTTCTTTTCTTTTCCTTTATAAATGAGACGGAAGATACTTTTATTCCACTTTCAACACGAATCTCTGTGGAGAGGCTACTTGAATTGATAATACATAACTTATTGCATGTGCACTATGTACTACGTATGGAATTTAATAAGAATGGACACTGGGACAAGTTAATGTAGTTGTGTGTTCTTGTCTTTATTTAAATAAGAAACAATAAAAATCATTGGGGTGACTTCAGAAAGAGGTATTGTCTACAGCAGAGAATTGCACTGAATTAAGTGAGAGGCCTGCATATTAATTTGATGTCTAGCTGACTGGAAATGCAAGACCCCAGCAATGTGAGAGAAATGCTGTCGCTCACTCAAAGGGGCCGGATGATGCACAAACGTTCCTGTGGGTGGGGTCAGAATATTTCACAAATCCAGAAGGTTTACTAAATCGAGAAATAAAGAGCCCACAATGTGGAGCCCAGAACACACAGGGATGGCAACACATTGCTAATAATAAACAGGTGCCCTACCCGATCCACCCAGCTGTTTTCCAACTTATCGGGATGCTCCAATCACTCCAGGTGTTCCCGAGGAAATAATTTTTCTGGCGCACTTTAACAAAATGGATCGTTGCTGGCATGAGACTCCCTATGGCGATTTTAAGTTGCATGTCCGTCGTCATGCGTTTGCGTGCCTTTGGAGGGGGGGGGGAAACCGAGAAGCAAACAGGTTTACATTATGTGGTCCTTCCCACACCACAGGAAAACACTGGGAGGGGGTTCTTCTGGTGAGTGGAATTCTTCTCTTTCTCAACTTTCTATGGAAGGAGATAATTTTGGGATATGGTAGAAAATTGCTTTTGGACTCTTATGTACCAGTGGACAAGGGAATGAAAGCTTTGTAGATGAAGTCAAAGGGCTTGAGACCAAATGACAGAAGGCTCCAGGGCAGAAGAATCTCCTTCCCTTCCTCCTGAGCCTGGCCATTTCTCACCTGAGGGGTGGGGGGGACAGCCACAGCCAGGGACCCAGGGCTGGGCTCATTCCTCCATCCAGACAAGGAAGAAAAGATGCAATTCAGCCTAGCCAAAGAACTAGGAGTGTGTGGAACAGTAATGGGGCGGTGAAAGAGGCCTGGAAGGCTGCATCTGCCACCCCTTCCCCTAGGTTCTGTGATCCAAAGGAAAGCAATGGCTTGGGGCTGGTGGCCCTGATCTCAAGCCTGTCTACTCTGAGAAGTCATAAAAGCCAACCCACTGTTCTTGTGTGTGCCCCACGTGTGAGGGGCATAAAATCATCTGCCAAATATATTGTTATAGATTTAGGATAAACCCTAGAAATTAATAAATGCTACTCTGTAGTGATGGCTGAAAACCACATATACTCCCCTCTTCTCAAATGCAGCTCTGCACACTGGTCTGCATAGGCAACTAGGGCAATCTGCCTGTCTATTTAGCCACAAAGAGCAGCTGAACATATGTATTGTTGTGTGCATGTGGTGGTGGTGGTGGTGGTGGTGGTGGTGGGGGCAATGACTTTCACTAGAACAAATGGATTCTGTGAATGGTCCTTGATAGACATCAGAGAGACCAATGAAGCCACTTTCTCATGCAGAGCTGCCCAAAGAAAGTGTCATGGAAGGGCAGGGAAGATGCCATGTCAACCAGCATGAGGCAGAGCAGGGGGGTGGGGAGAGGGGTATTCTGAAACATCAACCTCTGCTCAGGACACATAAGGTCCTCCCCCCCCCCCCAGTGTATGTGGTTGTTTTAGTATTTTTAATTTTTGTTTTAATGGCATTGTTTTAACATGGATGAGCTTACCACCCTGGGTTCCCTTTGGGAGGAAGGGTGGGATATAAATGTAATTAACTGATTAACAATAATAAATTTGCAGCACTATTCCAGGTGATTGTACAGAGAGGAGCATGCTGGGAAAGTGTGCCTACCTCATCCTCCAGCATGCCTTCTTGCCCAAAGGCAACTTCATAGTCTGTTTCCGAATTTTTATGGAGAATGCTCCCTTCATTATAGCCATCTTCCCAGGTGAGGATGTATCCGCCATCCCCCATCGTAAGTTTCAGGTTGACAGGCTGTCGGGGTTTCACTGCATTCGGGAAGAAGACAACAAAGAGAAGGATGTGGGGAGGCAAAAGGGGCCCCTGCTCGCCTCTCAGGGAAGACAACACGGGCCTCTGCTTTGTAAGGAAGGGCTGGTCAAAGCGGCAGACTTTTCACCCTGGAGGACAGACCTCAACCTCTCCAAGTTCTCTCCAGAACTGGAGTATCCCCCTCCAGGCACCTGAAGAAGGGGGCTCTCCATTGCAAAGGTTTCTGCCACAATAAACCTGCCACTGTTTAAGGTGGTGACTTTGCATAACGTACTGAGGCGGATGCAGGAGTGGCTAAGGAAGGTCTCTCAGCATTGATTGGTGCTAATCGTGAAGACAAATGATCTGTGCCCACCACACTTGTATTCTGCTACTCTTGTCTTGTTCTTCAGATCAAGACAAGGATGCACAAGAAGGATCTTGCAGACCAAAGGATCCCTTACCAATTTTACGAAGGTCCTCAATCTTCGTCTTCCAGATCTTTTTCCCATTGGCCTCCAGCGAGAAACGATACTTGAAATTATTCCGTACTTCAGACCGAATGGTGCAAGTACACTTGGGGGTCACATCCAGGCCTCTCTTGTTCTTAGGAGAACACTCCCATGATTTCCTGGAACAATGGCAAGACTTAAAAGATGTTTTCAAAGTAGACAGCACTCGGATTATTTCTGCCACAGCCTCGATTTGGGAAAGCTCAGCCCAAGTGAGAGAGGGGCTTTGAAATGCCTCCAGCTGCACCAGGCTGTGGATTCCCCAGGAAAAGTTGCAAGCGTGCCAGACGACATAAATCTGTGCACCTTGGAAGTTCTCCAACCACAAGTGGTCCAGTGAAAAGTAGAACGAGAAACCCTTTGGATCCTGCGTTTCTTATTCTGAGTTTGGAAAACTCACAGGGGTAAGGAGGGTACCACCAGCCCCCAAAACACCCAACAGAGGAAAGAGGAGATCGGGTGGCAGTTCTCACATTTAATAGCATGACCTACTTTTGGCCACTGAATCGATTATTCGCTGTAACACGCAGGAGGAACTTCTTGGGGCAGTCGGTAGAGGCGTCCACTTCCCAGGAACAACCCACTTCGGAGTCATAGTCTGTGAAGCAACGTGGCTGGATGTCCTTTGAGGATATGGCTAGAAAGAAACAGAAGAGTTTGCTTGAGTGCCAGACTGACACCAGCTGTTGTGCGTCATCTCCAGATTTTCAGAGGAAAGCAGTGTAGGAATGTTTTACTCAATGCAACTTACATATTCAGAGGAGTCCTAGCCAGAAAGGGCCTCTGCAAAGCCACACTTTGGCCCTCCAAGACTCCAATGCAGAAAGGGATAGAATCTCTGCTCCTGTTTTTTCAGGCAGAGCCGTAATTACAGGGGGGCTAGCCAGGTTTTTTTGCCCTGAGTGAAGCCTCCAAATGGGTGCCATTGAGGCTCTTAACCTGTGTGTGTGTGTGCCAAGCTGTGTCTTTGACAAGGGTGAAATAAAGCCTAGATCTGAGTCTGGCCGAGGGGGACCTTGTGTGTGTGTGTGTGTGTGTGTGTGTGTGTGTAGTTTTAAAAAAATACTCCTGGGGTAGAGAATGCATTTTGTCTGAGTCTGGAAAGCTAACTCTGCCTCTGCCTTAGAAAAAAGACCTTCCAAGGAGAAGCCTTAAATTTCTTTGTTGACTGCTGCTTGTTTTTCCTCCTCCGGGTACATTGGGTTGCTCCCCTCAACGTTTATAAAGCTCTCCTAAGAACATGAAACTAGCCCTGTCACTTGATCAGGCCAAAGGGGCTCATCTAGTCTAGCATCCTGTTCTCTCAGATGCCCCAGTGGGAAGCTTGCAAGCAGTATTCAGACACAAGAGCCTCTCTGCCTCCTGTGGTTTCCTGCAAATGGGATTTGGAAGGGTTTCCATGTTTTGATTAGAGGCAGAGTATGGTCATCATGGTGGTAGCCACTGACAGTCCTGCCCTCTTTGAAATTGGATTAAAGCCATCAAATTTGTTGGCCATCATTGCCTCCTGTGGGAGCAAGTTCCACACTTTAACTCTGTGCTGGATGAAGAAGTTCTTCCTTTATCTGTTCTGAATCTTCCAACATTAAGTATCACTAGATGTCCTTGACTTTTAGCATTATGAGAGAAAGAAGGAAATTTTTCTCTATCCAGGTTCACTCCCCCTGCTTTGTGAAATGCTCAGGCAGGACGCAGCTTATCTGAGCTAGTGGTGCCCCTCGGTTCATTTCCTTGACTGCTTCCTTGAGCCACTTCCTATGCAACACAGCTGTGCTCCTGATTGTGCCACGACATCTCCAGCTCAGCTTACTCAGCCCTCTGGAAATGAAACAGCCACAGGACTAGCACCTCCCCCCCCCCCTGGAGGGAAGGGGCAGTGTCTGTCTCCCAAAGGTGAGAGGCCCTTCCCAACTGCCCAGCCGCTCTCCTGTACTGACTCTGGGATATCGATCTCTCTCTCCTGCATCCCCTGAAATCTCAGGGTGGACCAAGTGGACTCCTTCAAGATGGAACTGAACAAAGCTCTGGTAACAAGGAACCGTTTTAGGGGGCTTTCCATTTGGAGTTGTCGCACATTGAAATGTTAGGAGCTCGCTGCCCTGGGAATTTTATTGAAGCAGGGGAAAGAAGCACAGCACGGAATAAATAAAACCCTTCCCCCTTCATGATCACCTAAGTGTGGATCTCCAAATTTCCCCCCTCAATTCCCTGAGCCCTCCCCCCCTTGCTCTTGCTCCCTACCATAGGAGCCAACTCTAAGGGGCAGAGGGCGCTTTGGTCTCCCTAATAAAATATTTGAGAGGTCTGCGCTCCCCCAAGTTGATGGGTAAAGGTAAAGGGACCCCTGACCATTAGGTCCAGTCGTGGCGACTCTGGGGTTGCAGTGCTCATCTCGCTTTACTGGCCGAGGGAGCCGGCGTACAGCTTCCAGGTCATGTGGCCAGCATGACTAAGCCGCTTCTGGCGAACCAGAGCAGCACACGGAAAAGCTATTTACCTTCCCACCAGAGCGGTACCTATTTATCTACTTGCACTTTGACGTGCTTTCGAACTGCTAGGTTGGCAGGAGCAGGGACCACGCAATGGGAGCTCACTCCATTAGGCTCTGTGGTTTAACCCACAGCACCACCCGTGTCCCTGAAGTTGATGGGTATTGCCATTCAAATGGTGTGGGTGCACTGGATCATGTGATCAATTATGTGGGGTTTGGGCTCCCACCCTGCCATATTTTATTCAAGTTGGCAACCCTGCTCCCTACCATGGGAGTGGCCAGGCTTTATGTTGGGGGGGGGGAGAACCTGGGTTACTTTTTATTGATTTACTTGATTTAGGGGGGCAGCTGCCCCCCTTTTGCTACCCACTGGACTTTCTCCAAGAGGGCAATTCACTCAGCCCAGGAAACAGGCAGCATATATGCCACCCTTTCCCCCACACTCTCGGAAATCTCTCTCTCTCTTCCTCCACCCCCTGAAATCCCAAGGCAGACCAAGTCGACTCCCTCAACATGGAAGCAGCCATGAGGAAGGACCACTCCGGCTCCTGTCCCCATACTGGCCAACCAGATGCCCCAAAGGGTAGAAGCTCACAAACAGGACCTGGGCACAGCAAGAGCAATTGCCCCCACCGCCATTTCCAGTAAGTGGCATTACTCAGAGGCATTTACTGCCTCTGACACCGGAGGGAAAACAGTCATCGTGGCTAGTAGCCACTGACAGCCCTCTCCTCCTCCTCTTTCTGCATGAATTTGTCTCATCCTGTCTAAGTTGTCCAAGTTAGATGCCATCACTTGTGGAAGAGAGTCCCATAATGTTTTAAATGTGTGGGGAAGACCTTGCTTTTGTCTCCCAACATCTAGCTTCCTTGGACGCCCCCAATGAGTTCATCTGTTAAGGAGGGAGGGGAAAGAACAACATCTGCCCAATATACCACTGAAGCAATGGATCCAAACTACAAGAAAGAAGATTCCACCTAAACATTAGGAAGAACTTCCTGATAGTAAGAGCTGTTCGACAGTGGAATTTGCTGCCAAGGAGTGTGGTGGAGTCTCCTTCTTTGGAGGTCTTTAAGCAGAGGCTTGACAACCATATGTCAGGAGTGCTCTGATGGTGTTTCCTGCTTGGCAGGGGGTTGGACTCGATGGCCCTTGTGGTCTCTTCCAACTCTATGATTCTATGATTCTAACGGAAAAATTATACTGTTGCACCACTAAAGAGAAGTAGGAAGGATCTCCTGATGCAAACAGGGGGGAGACAGATGGAGCACCCATGACCTCAAGAAAATTCATAGAATCACAGAACTGTAGGGTTAGTGACGTCACCTAGCCCCTTTGCAGTGCAGGAATCACAGCTAAAGTGCTGCCATTCAGTGTAGATAATATGGATAATGAAACTTAAGACCCCAAGTCATTGCCCCCCACCCCCGCACACCCAATGACTATGGCTGGACGTATGCTGATGGTGGTGAGAGGAATGCAGCCCGCTTATGGAGAGGGGAAGAAGTGGGGCTGGATGATGGGTTTCTGGCTTATTGCAGAGTTTCAAAAGCCGCTTTTTAAGGCAACGAGTCTCCAAAGATGGCTTCCACCATGCAGTCATAAAACCCAGAGCAACCCAGACCCAGCAAAAAGGCTTAACTCACTCCCACACCACCCCCAACAATACCAGAAAAGCAGGCCTCCTGGAAACCTGACCCAAGCAGCCTCAGCCCATTTCAACCCATCCAAGCCTTGGAAATCTTCCAGGCAGCTGACACCTGGCAGGAAGATCCTCGCTGCCCCTCCTGGCCTCGCTCTCTGCCCGGCTGGCTGCCCAGCTGCCCTCCTGCAGAGGGAAGCAGCTTTCCTCCACAGAGACTTACTGTGCCAAAGCGAGCAGGCGAGGAAGACGGAGAGGGAGGAGGAGGCAAGGCCTCTGGGGCCCCCGAAGCCCGTCCTGCCCATCCGGAGAGCTGGTGATGGAATGTGCCTGGCCCTGCTGGGAAGAGACAACAACGTTAATGCCTTTTGAAAGCCTGTTGGCCGCCTCCAGATGCGTGCATGTAGAGGTAGACTGCCACAGGCAATGGGGGCTCTGCAGGCTCGGCTGAACCCTATAGCGATCTTCACTACGGAACGCCACCCGCTTACCTGTGTGAAGGGATTAGGGAGCCCCCCTTTTATTCAAGGCCCAACTGAGAGCAAGGCCCAGCCCCTTTGCAACAGTCATAGCCAGCATCCAACAGGCAGAAGCCACAAGACATTGGCCAGTCGCCCAGCTGTGGCCAACCACTTGTCCTGCCCTTCAGGCCTTCGGCTTCTATGAGTAGCTGGGAGGAGACTGGGCCAAGGGGGCTCAGATGCTAGGGCCCCAAAACACTCACCACTACTGACCCCCTTTCCATGTGGCTTTCTGGGTCTCTTTGCTTTGCTGTACTTGCCGCTAATGCTGCCTGGTCGCTTCTACAGGGAGGCTCAGCCCGGGGATTTTGCTGCCTGGGGCACAGCAGCAGCAACTCAGTGTATAGCACCTCTGAATGTGGACAGAGCTGGTTTTAAACTTAGGAACCTTTTATTTCAGATTAGTAGGCAGAGCAGCTCCCAATAGAATATAACAGCCATGGAGCAGGTTTCTAGAGCTTTTTGAGAGATGGAGGAGTGAGGGATGGTGTTTTTCTGATCAAATCCCCCTCATGCACAAGTCACCCTCTTTCTCTCCCAGCCAACTCAGGCGAGAAAGCAGATGGTCCTCTGCTAAGTTGCTACTACAATTTAGAGACCCCCCTTTGTTTTGACTGCATTTTTCTCAAACAAGCAATTCAATGCTTCAGGAGCCTGGATAGCAAAAGTTGAACCACATTGCAGTGCTCTCTCTCACACACATTCACTCACCAATACGAGTGGATGGAACCTCCATTTTCTCAGCCACAATGTCACCTGATAATAATAATAATAATAATAATAATAATAATAATAATAATAATAATAATAATAATATTTTTATGGTTGCCCCAGGCACTCTGAGTGGCTTCTAAGAATTATAAAAGCATAATAAAACATCCAACATTAAAACCTTCCCTATACGGGTCTGCCTTCTAAAATTTCCATAGTTCTTTATTTCCTTGACACCTGATGGTGTTCCACAGGGCGGGTGGCACTACCAAGAAGGCCCTCTGCCTTGTTCCTTATAATCCAGGAGTGCCATCTTAGCCCCACAACCATAGGTGCCATGCAACGTGCATGGCCCTGGTGCTGCTATTTGTGGGTGCCTGGCCCCTTCATGGGGAATTTTGCCGGTGCTGAGGCACCCAGAGCCCCGGGGGAGTCGGCACCTATGTTTTATCTTCACTTCTCACAGTGTGGGAACTTCCAGAAGGCCCTCAGAGCTGAATGCTGGGGGTGGAGACGCTCCTTCAGGTAAACCGTTTAGGGCTTTAAAGGTCAGCATCAACACTTTGAATTGTGCTCGGAAACGTACCGGGCACAATACGTGTATTATGGCTGGGCAGTATTTGCATCAGGTGGTTTTTTTAATACGTGAGGGAAAATAAGCCTGAGCCCTGACTTTGCAGTGACTTTTCCTTCAAGGGTGGAACTGCGACCATTCAGAGTTATATTGAAATCCTGGGTGTCTGAGCCCACCCCACGCCCTTATGGGGTGGGCAGCACTATCTCCCCCCCTCCCCCCAAAAAACACCTAAATGAACCAGGACGCTCCTTCTACAAACAATGAGCGTGCCCCTCTCTACTTTGTTATCTTGAGGCCCTGCACTTCTCCCTGCTCCAAACGTCAATCCGGCTGTGACTTCGCTCATTGGCTAAGAGCTCCGAGAGGGCGTGGCAATTATTGTCGGAAGCTCTTTTCTCCCGCGGTTTCTTCTCTCTCCTGTTCTTCAGCTCTAGTTCTCCGCTAGGTGAGCAGCAGCCGAGGGACAGGCGCGCTCGCCTACCCGCTTCCCTCTTCATTTCTCCCCGAGTGGTTGCACTCTACCCACGCTCAGAGGCTTCTTTCCGGGTCATCCCCAGCCAAGGTAGGCAGCGTCTCACGCGCAGGATTCACGTGTGTTCGCGCTCGTCGGGAAGGCAAAGTGGCTTGCGGAGGGCGGGTGCTGGGAAAGGCGGCGCTCCCTCCCTCCCTGACAGGGGCCGACACACCGGAAACTGGGCAGCTGCAGCAGCAGCAGCAACCCCAGGTGTGGCGGAGCAGAATGCCAAGACAATCTTACTCGGCTACGAGTGATCGCCAAAAACATGAAGAAGTTGCAAGGCTGGAAGCGGCTCCCCCCCCCCGACATTTGCAGAGGAGCCCCCTCTAAGCCGTCAGCAAAGGAGACCCAAAGTACATTAAAAAAAAAAAAAATTAAAAGCAACCCCATAAAAGTGAACGTAGCAATTGTTTTGTGTCAAGGAAGCCTTAATTTCAAAGGGAAGGGGTGTGTTGGGGTTTGGGTTTGTGATTTATTTATGGCATATTTTGTATTTTTATCTTGCATTTTTATGCTGTGAACCGCCCTGGGATCTACAGAGTATGGGCAGTATACAAATTTGAGATTTATTTTTTTTTAAAAAAGGCCATTCTGCACAGTGAGCTTGTTGGGGAGCCTGCTGGATGAGACCGAAAGGATCCCCAGGAGGAGGGAGAGGAAGAGGGGGACAGGAATGCTGTTCACGGGCCTGTTATCTAGCTGTTTTTCTCCATCCTGCAGTCCTGAACTTGGCCATGGCCATGGTGGCCCTGGGCACCAACCTGAATGATGCTCACCGCCAGTTCCTGCAGGCCTTCCTAACTCTTGGCTTTGTGGAGAGGCCTGAAGCTGCGAAGCTACACCAGTTGTACTGCCAGCTGCACAAGGGTGAGTGGGGGAGCAAGTCCACTGGCAGAGATTAATAGAGGGCTGGGTAGCAGGCTAGTCCTCAGGAGGGGAAAAGGAGGCAGGAAGGGCTGTGTGGGTATAAGTAAAAGCCGTGCTAAGTAATCTTGAGACTCAGCCCCTCTCCCCACATTTGATCCTTTTCTGCTCTTTGACTTTTCTGCTCTTTGACAAGCTGAGCAGGGAAGGCGGTGGTGGCATTATGGCGTTCCCCTCCACCATCATCCTCTCCTGTGTGCTCTTAAGCTGTCCCATCTTTCCGTTCCATCTTCTGCTGAGTTCAGTGCAAAAAGTCAGCTGTGTATGTGATGCTCAGGTGTAGAGCACAGGGTGTGTGTGTATGTAATTTGTCAGCGAAAGGATCCACAACCTTTCTTCCTTTCCAGGGCTCCAGGGACTTCTTTCACCTGGATCAGTGCCAGCGTCAGAACTGAGGCAGGAGAGGGAGACTGAAGGAAACCCTCCCCTCCCCTCCCTCCCTCCCTCTGTGTGTGTAATGAAGAGCCTCTCAGGGTCTGGAAGTGCCCCCTTTCCACCCTCTCCTCTGTCTCCAAGAGTTAGCAGTCACGGGTATTCGGGTGTGGGGGCTTTTTGTTTCTTTAAAAGCAAGCAGAACTGTAGACCAGCTGGACTCTAGAGAGATGATAGTTTTAGCTGAGATTTTTTTTAAAAAAGTGATTTTGAATTACAATTTTTTTTGGGGGGGAGGGAAACGACTCATAAATATGCATACAGGTCCTGTTTCACAACACTTGCTATGCAAAAATTCACTTATCCAAACATGAGGAGTTAGTACCCAAACCTCACTATATACACCTCAGATTCATATTTCCAAACAGCCAAAGTTTGCCCGCTTCCTTGCTTCCTTCCCTGTTTGTGCTTTGCTGGTCAGCGACAGCCATTTTCAGCCATAAACCAGACAGGGTGGGGGAGAGGGATCAGAAAAACCAGTTTTTTCTTTGCTGGTCGGCTGCAGCCATTTCAGGAAGAAAACATGGATGGGGGTAGGGAGAGAGATTGGATAAATCATGGATTGGAAATGTTCCCGTAGGAATCAATGGAAATTGTGAACTTGTTATGTGACTGCTCTCCTTTTCCTTATATTCTCACCTCTCTTTTTCTTCCCTCCTGCACAGTCCATTATGTACCTGATAAGCTGGATGACTTCATCAACACTTTGAATGGTCAGCTGCAGCCTTTGTCTTTGGAGATCAGGAAAGGAGTATCAGAAGAAAATGGGAGAACATATTATGCTTTGGTAAGGCAGGGTTGGCTGTCACCTGGTGTCTTTTCCTTGTAATTTGAAATTGGGAAGGGTGGGATCTGGGGAGAGTCGCATGCTGCTGCTGGATCACAGTGTCCCCCTGACAAGGAATCCAAGAGGCACACCCTTCCCCTCATTCTACACCCTTGCTGGATGGTGGCAGGACTGCTCCAAAGGCTGGAGGCTCTGCCACAGGAACTGAGATGAGCCAATAGCTGCAGGAATAAAAAAGGAGCGATGGGATGAGGCTTGGTGCTTTCCTCCTTCGAAGAAGCTTTGCCCATAGCAGGGACCAGCCACGTCTGGGCTGTGGCTGCCAGGGAGACAGTGTCAAAGAATCCTCTTGGCTTGGAGCTCAGAGGCTGCCTGGTGTCTCCTTTATCACACTTGCTTCCTCCCCCAGGTGAATCTGGCTGAAACTGAGATCACCCTAATGGCAAGCGACTACTCTGAAAATGAGCTGGAATTGTTCAAGAAGACAGTAAGCATGGAAACCTTGAGTGCGCAAACGTGGCTGAATCTGTAGCAGATTGCTGCCTGCCTACCTGCTGGCCAGCCTCCTAAGTGACCCAGATTCAGTGGCCCCCAGTAGCCATGGGGGGAATCACTTTCTGGACTTGGCCTCTGCTCCCCAACCTGTCCATGTTTTGGGAATCTCACGGGTCTTGGGAGGGTGAAATGCAGCTCTCTGCATCCAATGTGCTTAATGCAGTGTTTTTTTCTGGGGGTACACAATACTGGCACCTTCCCCCATGTTAAAAGTGCGGTATTTACTGTAACAACTTCATGGTGAGTACCGGCACCTTTTTGCCTAAAAAAAAGAAGCACTGGCCTAATGAAATAAAAAGTCAGGAGTCCACTATCCTCCTGCTAGCTGGCCAGAGGGACGTGGCCCCTGTGATGTCCTTTGCTCACTTAGGAAAGGGGTTTTCCATCTGCAGATGGATCTGATTGTGCTGTCTAGCAACGGCTTTGCCTCCTCCACGGAGATCCTGAACCTGGCTGACCAGCTGAAGCCAAAGAAGATGAAGAAGGTGGAGGCTGAGCTAGTACTGCAGCGCCTGGTGCAGGATAAGTGGCTCTCCGAGGTATGGGAATGTGGGTGTGGAGCTGGAGTGGGCAGGTCCACTTGGGTCCCCTTGCCTTCCTTTGATGTGGGGGCGGTTGAGCCACAAGGGGCATAACTGGGCCTCTGCTCTCTCGCAGAAAGAGGGAGAGTACACTTTGCACCTGCGCTGCGTCCTGGAGCTGGAGCAGTACATCCTCCGCCACTACCAGGACTCTGCCCGCAAGTGCCACGTCTGCCACAGCCTCTCCATCCAGGTCAGGAGGCCCACATCAGCTGGTGGTGTATGTGAGATGGGCAAGGCTTGGGGATGGGGGAGCAGTGGCCAGGAGTTCCCCTGTGCAGTGCCACCTCTCCTGCAGCTTAAAACCAGCCTTGTGGAGAGGCTGATTAGTGTTAACCACCCTTGGCCTCCAGGAGCCTTACTGCTGCTCAGCCCTGAGGCTGATCATCTTACAAAGGCCATCTGCCTCCCATTCACAGCAGCTTTTCCCTTTCAGAGCCAAGTCTGTGAGGACTGTGGAATCGCCATGCACTTGCCTTGCCTTGCCAAATATTTCCAAGCCCAAAGGGAACCTCGTTGCCCTAACTGCAAGCAGTTCTGGCCACATCAGATTCCAGGTAACACCCCTGAAGAGTGCCTCCCCAGAAAAACATGACCAGTTTCGTGCCAGGGGTGGGAATGGGGAAGACAGCAGCCTGCTCTCCTTCTGGTCCACCGTCTGCCTTTCATGACATTCTGGGATTAAACCAAGGACTTCTTTGCTTTAGTGAACTGGCAGATTTCCTGGAAGCGATACAGCTTCTTGCATATGAGATAAAGAGGATCATTTGTGTACAGTGGTACCTCGGGTTACATACGCTTCAGGTTACAGACTCCGCTAACCCAGAAATAGTGCTTCAGGTTAAGAAATTTGCTTCAGGATGAGAACAGAAATCGTGCTCCGGCAGCGCGGCAGGAGCAGGAGGCCCCATTAGTTAAAGTGGTGCTTCAGGTGAAGTATGGACCTCCGGAACGAATTAAGTACTTAACCCGAGGTACCACTGTAGAATGTATTCTTCTAGATTTCTAGCAGACCCCCCTCTCAAAGTTCACAGAAAGCCCACCCTCCCGGAAGCAGCTAGCAAACTAGAGCCAGATTTCATCTCATTTGATGGATTCTATTTCTTGCCCTCAGGCTGGGAGGGAAAAGGATCTCTGGTGGGTCGGGCTTTCTTTTGTCCAACAGGGAAAGTTCTGCCTGTCAGAAACTGGTACATAAATGGGTCAAGGGTGAAAGTGGAGGTGGGAATGGTCCCAAAGGCCACGGTAAGGTAATCAAACTCTTATTCAGCCCATTCTGTATTTTTCCATCTCCACCACAGAGATCAACCTACCAGGACCTTCTGGGCTCTCAAGCACTCCACAGGAGACCCGGCGGAGTGCTGCCTCCCCAATGGCCCAGAGGCGGCAGTAAGACTTCTCCAGGCCCTTGTTGGAGAAGTACAGACAAGCAGCTGTTACTGGGGCCCAGCACAGCTGCTCTATATTTGCATAATTTATTTTTCCCCCTCAGGATCCAACCTGTCTCACAATTCTCTTTCCTTTTTTACTATTTATGTAAAGCTTTTTTTAAAATAAAAAAATACAGGGTTTTTATTTATTTTCAAGCTATCAAAGCACATGTAACAACATACAATACCTTTCCTGGCAACTGCATGACCCTATATTTAGCAAAGTTTTTAAAGGTCTTATGAGGGTGACTGGGCCTCAACTCTGCTCCTTCCCAAAGCTGTCCTCGGTATCTTTTTGTTTTTGAAAGATAACGTAACCCTCTTGGAACACCATAACTTGTGAGCATCTCAAGAAGCTGAATGTTGCAGGATTCAGGACGGACTGCTTCATGCAACACATAGTTAAAACTCTCTCCTGCAGGAGCCAGTGAGGGCCAGCAACCTAGATGGCTCTAAAACAAGAGGGTTACCAATGGCTACTAGCCAGGACGGCTAGGCTCTCTCCTTCCACATTTCGTGGCAGCAATGCTTCTAAAAATCAGTAGCTGGCAGGCACAGGAGGGGAGATTTGCTCTTGTCCTTGGGTCCTGCTTGCGGGTTTCCCATTCAGATGTCTGGTCAGCCACTGTGAGAACAGGATGCTGCACTAGATGGGACACTGGCCTGGTCCAGAAGGCTCTTCATGTTCTCATGAACAAAGGAAGCTCCAGTCCCCAGCAGGGGTTGTTCCTAGCCCTACTTTCAGAAGGCAGAGTTTGAACTCTGGACTGTGTGGAAAACAGACACTTTTGCCCTCCCTCAACCCCAAATTTAAAGAAATTGCAATTCCTGCTTGTAACTTGCATTTGTGGGGTTGGTGAGGGCATGATGAATCTACAGAGAGACTTCCCTCCGCAATGACTAAGGACTTCTTTGCCCATCTTGCACAAGATCTGAGCCCTTCAGACTTTGTAAAGCAGTATTATAGAATCAGAATTGTAGAGTTGGAAGGGATCCCAAGAGTCATCTAGTCCAACCTGCAAGAAATCTTTTGCCCAACACGTATTGCAGGGGCTCTAGTCATGAGTGCATCAGTTCTATTAGAGCCTCCACCAAGAAAATAGAATCAAAATGGTGAGTTTTCTGTCTCCCTTGACCAAGCAGGTTGTGCTAGATCAGCAAAGGCAATTCAAATCACAACACATAATTTAAATATTAATTTGTATTCTGTTGTCCTTTGAGAAAAGTTTTAAGAGAGCCCTTTTTAATAAAACCCAAAGAGGGACAAGTCACTATTTTAGCCCCTTCAGAAAACTGCATCTTTGATGCCCTTGATCCTCAACCACAGCAGTTGAACTGTGTGTCACAGCCCTTGCTGCTTCCTGGCAGCTCCTTCCTTCATCTTGCCTGATGTCCCTGAGCAGAAGAGTCCTCCCTTGTTCCCAGCAGACGCTACGACCACCAGAAGCTGACGGAGAAACTTGTGTCCAGGGACCGCACGTAGTGCCAGTAGCTAACTGGGATGAACAGAACTTCTCCAGGGCTCAAGATGCAATCTTGAAATGCAGCTGCTTTGAAGTTGGGGAATTTCACCAAGTCAGGGTCTTCCACATCCACCTGGAAATGAAAGAGAAAACGCTGTCTTAATATAATTCAGACAGGACTATCCATGGTTGTCTCATTCTTTGCACCAAGAGGCTTACAATTTAGGTGAGAGGAGAGGGGGGCAGGATGTGGAGGGAAGCAGGGAAGAGGAAGAGGTGAGTGTTGGGAGCTTGGCTGCAGTTGGGGATGGGAAATAGGATACGGTGCCAATTTTTAGGGTGAACATTATTTGCTTCATGGAATAATTCAGCCCCCATTAAGAGGGACCGACTTTACTGGGTGCCCACCTGGCTGGTGTTGTGAAGGAGGTGGCCTTCATGTGGATAAAGGTTTTCAGATTCCTGAGGAGAATACAGACGGACATATTTCCGTCCCATTACCTGGAGAAAGGAATGTTGAAACATTTGTCAATAATCCAAGCTCAACTTTTCTAACTAGCATTCCTTTGCTTGGTGTCCGGAGTGTGCCCTGACACACAGGATTTCTGCAAATGGGGTCTGATCAGCTTCTTGCCATCATTTGCAGAAAAAGGAGCCCAGACATCCCCGTCCAAAGTTTGCAGGCCAACAATAGGCACTCTCCCCTGCCCCAGTGCCTTTCTAATTTCAGTTCTCAGCACTCCCTCTTTGCTCTTCTCCTTGACAGCCCATCAGCACCTCAGTCCAGCTGAGACAGGGAGCCCATCAGCATCAGCTTCCCTAGCTGGGCTATCTGGCTGCAGACAGCCTTCCCTGGGCAACTTCTAGAGGGACGCTTCTCTGGTGACTGTTGTTGCTGCCACCCCTAGAACAGGAAGCAGCCTCCCTTGAAAGGCAGGAGGATACAGAAGTCCTGCCTCTGATTGGCAACTGCCCTCCTTACCCTCCGCACCGCAGGCTGTCACGGAGGCCCTACCTGGACTAAGAAGTTCTGCTGCGGGTCCTGATGCAGAGGGGAGACAGTCCCTGGTGGACCAAACCAGGCGTTGACAGTGATGTCCTCTTCGTCTCCTTCGCCCAAGCAGCAATAGTCAGGGACGCCAATATCCAGCTTCAGCTCTGGGATCTGGCAGAAAATTGGTTAGAAAGGAAAGCGGGGAAAGAGGTTCTCATCGTACACTAGCTTGGCAAATAAAATAAAAATAATAATCTAAAGATGGCTCACGGCAACCATTAAAACGAGACCACAAGATAAGAGATGGTGAGGCAAAGGATGGAAACAGAAAAAGGCGGAGTTTCAGGCATCAACCACTTGGGCAAAGCAAATGCCTGCAGAAAAGGGAAGAGGCTTTGCAAAGTGCCAGGAGGCAGCTACCAAGGAATGGACAAGATGGGTCAGACCATAGAAAAGACCTGATCCTGCACCTCAGACAAGGCTCTCTTTACTAGTGTGGGTGGCAAAGGGACAGCATTCAAACCAAACAAGGTCTCCCTATGATCCAGCATTAATTGTTATGGGGATTCTTTGCTGGGGCCAGGTTGGGGGTGGGCTGCTCTATACAGTCTTGGGTTCCCTCCTCCCCTGCTTCCTCAGGACATCAGGAGAACAGCTGGCAACAGGATATTGGCTGGCATTAAACAACATGAGTTTGATTAGCTAGAAGTGACTCAGTGGGTTTTGGCAGACAGCCAACCTAGAGTCAGGAAGGAGTTTTCCCCCCAGGTGGATTGAACACCTATGAGAGGAGAGGTCTACTGTGATGCTCGCAGCCCTTTGCATGCATCTCTGAAACTGGTTTGGCCCACGTGCCTCTTCCCATGGACTGTGGAGGATGCCTGGGGTGGAGTTTACAGAGAAATGCTTCCCTGAAAGGTGTGGGTGGCACTTTGGATCATTCCCAGATATGAAATTTTGTGGGTGGGGAATTCACTGCGTTCTGGTGAACCCGGCATCTGTTTCCTCCCATCAAATAGGAACGAGAAGAACTATCCCTTTGGTTTACCTGGTCAAAGAGCTGGTGCTGAGCAAGGTATCCCTTGTGGTCCTGCAAACAGAAGGGGGGGGGACAGAGAGAGAGGAGTGAGTGGAAATCCTCTACATACAGAAAAGTCAATTGAACAGCAGCAAACAATTTGGTGGGGAGTCCAGAGCCCCACCCCACAAACTCTACCACTCTCACTGGTCAGCTCCCTGCTCCCCACCGCAAGGAGCTCTGCCAGGCTTGCCCTCCCTTTCCCAGTCTCATTGCAGCCTTCCGTGTTACTCAAAAGCTGGCAGGTGCTCACATAAATAAGTTCACTAATATTTTATTTAAGGAGACACCTTTCCTGCTTGCTGGGTTCCCAGGGCGGAATACAACAATGGAGTTAACACAAACTCAACCCAGCATAATTTGTCCTGCTCTTCCCAGCCAGGTTGTTTTGTGGGAGGGAGAAGATCCAGACCTCATTCTCAATATACTGTCTGATGAAGTCATCCACAGTCATGAGGGTCTGGGACCACTCCTCATCTGTGTAGCGCGATCCAAGCTCCACAGGGACTGTGCGGCTGCCAGCCACCTGGTGGATGTAGCTCACGCTGCAACAAAGGAAGAAGAATCAATGGCAGGGCTCTCTCTCTGTGTGCCCACCCTGTTTCCAAAGGCCCTGTTCCCTCTTCCTCAGGCAGAGTGGTTTACAGTTCTTTTTGTTCTTTCCTCTCCTACATGGGGGAAGTGCCAGCGGGAACTTGCAACACTTTGTGTATTTTTTGAGTATTTGGCCTGGCTGGCTCAGGGCACCGTCTAGTAACTCACAGATGAAGTTACTTCTGTTACAATCTGCCTGTGATTATACATCTTGGGATATCTGCCATCCCTTGGAGGAACTTTGACCTGAATAGCAAGCAGGCAGAGGGAAAGGTCAGGCTGGTGTCATTTCCGATCCTTCGCTGTGTTTTCCTGATAGCACGAGTTCTGATCCACTCCTCTGTGAACCCCCTGGAATTTCACTGTCAGGCTTGCCAGGGCAAATATTATGGTAGCCAAAAGCTAAACTGAGCACAGGCAAAAATCAAGCCCTGCGGTTCCAGCAGTGCAGAATGCAGGCCCAAAACAGGCTTCCTGCCTTTAGCTCAGGGGCAGAGAGAGCATCCTCTTACAGAAGACAAACTGGAGAGGATGCATGATGTCAGGAGCCCCTCCAGCCCCACACCCAGATGCTGCCTCCATTGGGCAAAACCTTTCCTTGTCCTGGAGGCAGCCACCCACCCTCTACCTGCTCTCTTGCCCTCACCTCCACTTTCTCAGGCAAGGCCAGTGGTCCACAACCCCCTCCAAGACAACTGGCTTTTGAGGGGTTAGGTAACTGTCCCGGAAATGTTCCAGCGATGGGCAGAGAAGCTGTGGGACAGCAGTTTCTGGGGCTATAGCAGGGGCTGCTGGGGTGAAGTCCGTCCGGATTTTCTGCAACAAGGAGCAGGTGGTTAGTTCTGCTTCTTGTTTCACTGGCAGGGGGCTCAGTGTGAGCTGGCCCCTCCGCCCCTGCACACACTGGCAAAAGGAGGGCTTAATCTGCTTCAGTCCTTGAGGTGTGCCAAGGGAAAAGGCCATCACTGGCCATGAAATGGGCTCTACTGTGCGGGAGGCGGCAATGCTTCTGAGTACCAATTGCTGGAGACCGCAGAAGGGGGCTGATCTTGAGCTGGGGTGCTGCTTGTGAGGGAGTGGGGGCTTCCCCTTGGGACACCCGACTGGGGGACCTGGCTGGCCATCCTGCAAGAACAGGAGGCTGCAGTAGACGGGCTCGCCTTTTGCTCGATCCAGCTGCAGCGAGGCTCGCCTTGGAGGAGAGGGGAGCTGTTCTTGCAGACGGGAAGGGGGTGGGCAAGGGTGCCCTTTGCAAGCTGGTACCTTCTTCGGGGGTGCTCCGGCGCGGGCTGTCGCTGCTGGCTCCTCGGATGGCAGGTGCCGCTGGAGGACGGGGACCAGCCTGCCCATGACGTCGTCCAGGACAGGCGCGCCGAGCAGGAGGCTCAAGTCGCATAGGCGCAGCGCCTCCCGACTGGCCCCTCGTGCCCGGCACAGGCTCAGCACGCGGAAGAGGCAGCCCAGCGCCCACGCCCGCCGCCACACGGGGCTCACCGCCCGCCACGGGCCCACGTGCAGCCGCTCCCAAGAGTAGTCGCAGACCTGCTCGCCCAGCTCCAGGCAGGCTCGGCGGGCTCTCTCCGAGCCCAGAGACTCCTCGCCCGCATCGCCCGGGTACACCAAGGCGGCCGCCTCCTCCAGCAGCAGCGCCACGCGGGCCCCCTCCGCCCCCAGCCCCAGCGATCCCAGCCCCAGCCCGGCCCGTGTGCTCGGGAGCAGAGCCCGCACCGCCGCCCAGCAGGCAGCAGCACTTGGTGCCTCCTGCTCCGAAGCAGCAGCCATGGCCGGGCCCGGCGGGAGGGAAGGAGGCAGGGAGGAGAGAACCACTCAGGGGCCACGAGGAGCCCTCTCACTAGAGGTGAGCTGCCCCTGGGCAGGGAAGCTCCATGCCACCCGGCGGGCGGAGGAGCTGGGCCGCTGGAGGTAGACTGCCCCTGGACAGGGAGGCTCTACTTGGCTGCGCAGGTGTCTTTCTCACCTCCCGCCACACGCCTGCGCAGAGCAATGCCGGTTCTCTAGAGCACAGAAACAAACACAATCCCGGTTTGGGGGTGTGGGACTTCCGGGTTCCACATTTCGCAAGCCGTGACCAAGCGTTTCTAAGTGTTTCTTACAACAGCCCTGCAGTGAAGTTCAGTGCTAATCTTACGGCGGCGTCGCAAATCCAGGCACCGCGGGAAACCAAAACGCCTCCAAAGATGAACAAGCAGAAATGTGTACTCTGCACGGGAGTAAGTTTATGGGAGCGTTCTCACGCATCCCGCGCCTGCGCAACGAGAGCGCCCTTTCCCTTTGCTCCGCCCACAGGCGTGCCCGGCCTCATTTCCTCTAAGCTCACGCGCGGCAGGGGCCGCTCGTTTACCGTAGAACTGCAAACGTATAGACTAGCCGTGGGGAGAGCGGCTTCCGGGATCAGGCGTCTTGTCCTCCCCAACCGAAAGGAGAGGCGGCTCCACTCGGAGTCCATCCATGTTTGTTTTCTTGGCCGCCTGTTTATTTGTAACATTTAAAACATTCGCCCGGTCTCTGAAAATGCAAATGCAGCCCCTCGGTATTTTCCCCACATTTCGGACCAAGGGAGGGCTGCCGGGGCACGACAGTCTTGCAGTGCAGCCCACCCTTGAGTGCCTGTGCACGCGAAGCAAAGGTGCAATGCTGCAGCCCTGCGCGAAGCATCGGGCACCCCCCTTCCCCGCCAGAGGGTCGAAGGCGTCGACCTCCCGCCCTCGGCTCCTGCCCCGGGCTGCCGCTTCCTCCCCCCCCCGAAGTACAGTAGAGAGACGGACAAATCCCGACCCCTCCCCCCACATTCATTTGCAGGCTAGCAGCGTATGTTTAGAATCTTTTTGCTGAAATATGTTTTTTAGCTCCATTTTATTGTATTTTGTTTGTATGTTTTACGTACATCGTCCTGTGCTCATCTGACGAGGGATGGTGAAAAAATAAAGCAGACCAGGCTTTCCAGGGCGTTGCTTCTTCGGTGTCAAGTACTGCCTGGGCCAGGGTCAGCAAACTTTTTCAGCAGGGGGCCGGTCCACTGTCCCTCAGGCCTTCTGGGAGGCTGGACTATTTTTTTTGGGGGGGGGGGATGAACGAATTCCTATGCCCCACAAAAACCCAGAGATGCATTTAAATTCAACTCATGTAAAAACACGCTGATTCCCAGACCGTCCGTGGGCCGGATTTAGAAGGTGACTGGGCCAGATCCGGCCCCTGGTCCTTCGTTTGCCTACCCATGGCCTGGGCAGTGCAGTTTCTACCATACATGCATTCGTATTCTGCACCCTCAACAGGACTAGCAGCTTGCCTCAACATTGTTCAGATCTCCAAGAACAGCCTCTTTTGACTGGCCTCCACGCTGCTCACTTCAATGAATTTTGATCCAGGAGAGCTGCTTTGGTGCTCAGGTTCTTCTTTTGGGCTTCCCATAGGGGCATGTGGTTGGCCACTGTGAGAACAGGAGGCTGGGCTAGATGGGCCCCCAAAATCTGGGCAGCAATGAAATGCAGGGTCAGGACTGAGGGAGACTGACCAAAAACGATGTTGCATGGACATGCTCCAGGTTTCTCAGTGGGGATGGGTTTCCCCTTAACCAACTGTAGCCACCAGTCCATGCTCCTTTGCTTCATCAGACAGCACATTAAGATGATGGTGAGGAGATTCAGGAGACCAGCAGCAAAATTCCTGTCCTCTTCTGGCAAGAGCAGGCTTTGAACAGAGTTAATGTAAAAATTGTGATATCTGATTGAATATTAGCTATTAGATAACCCCCCTCTGTCTTTATTAGATATAGATACTGATTTTATTCTGACTGCCCTAATATTAATCACATTTACCCTTTCAGACAGAATGTAGTAGGCTTGATCTTTGTGTGCCTCATGCCATCCTCCTATGCTGTGTAAAGCTGTGTTAACAGTGCATGCCACTTCCTGCTTTATCTGACCCTGGAAGGGTCAGATAATGATGTTTTGTGGAAGAGGTATGTGTTGGCTTCACATCTGGGTGAGAACTTGCATTTCTCCTTGAAGCTATCTGGGGCCCAGAAAGAGGAGATGGGAGAGGAATTTATGACCTTCTCGCTGAAGGTCTGGTTGCCTAGACAACTATCCGATAACTTGTAAGCTGAGACCCAAATATCCTGGGAACTTTGGGGCACCCCAAGGGAATTGTGGGGGAGTTGATATCGGTATGGAGCCATGTGTTTTTAACATCCCATGACCTGTAAGGCCATTTCCGACTATGGGGAGGAGAGGGGGTTGCGGTCTAGCCCCTCCCTCCCGAGCGCGGGGGCTAACCTTGGCCCCCGCGAGAGTTGGGGGAATCCCTGGGCGTGCTCGCGACCCTGCCCGCCTATCGGCGGGCCGGGGGGAGGCATGGCTTAAGGTATTTTAAGCCGGGCACGCCCAGGGTCCCCCCTCCCAAATATCCTGGGAACTTTGGGGCACCCCAAGGGAATTGTGGGGGAGTTGATATCGGTATGGAGCCATGTGTTTTTAACATCCCATGACCTGTAACCTTTCTTGCTGTATGTAGAAAAATGTTTTGATGTTTGGTGTCTCTTTGTGTGCAGTGCTAGATATGCTATATAAGCTGGGTAACAAACTGGTGGTGTAAAAGTAAATTCTTACTTGTTTAGTCGTTTAGTTGTGTCCGACTCTTTGTGACCCCATGGACCAGAGCACACCAGGCACTCCTGTCTTCCATTGCCTCCTGCAGTTTGGTCAAACTCATGCTGGTAGCTTCGAGAACACTGTCCAACCATCTCGTCCTCCGTCATCCCCTTCTCCTTGTGCCCTCCATCTTTCCCAACATCAAGGTCTTTTCCAGGGAGTCTTCTCTTCTCATGATGTGGCCAAAGTATTGGAGCCTCAGCTTCAGAATCTGTCCTTCCAGTGAGCACTCAGGGCTGATTTCCTTAAGAATGGATAGGTTTGGTCTTCTTGCAGTCCATGGGACTCTCAGGAGTCTCCTCCAGCACCATAATTCAAAAGCATCAATTCTTCAGCGATTAGCCTTCTTGATGGTCTAGCTCTCACTTCCATACATCACTACATTACTGGGAAAACCATAGCTTTAACTATACAGACCTTTGTTGGCAAGGTGATGTCTCTGCTTTTTAGGATGCTGTCTAGGTTTGTCATTGCTTTTCTCCCAAGAAGCAGGCATCTTTTAATTTCGTGGCTGCTGTCACCATCTGCAGTGATCATGGAGCCCAAGAAAGTAAAATCTCTATGTTTCACATGTGGTGGGAATGCCGACCTATTAAACAATTCTGGAATGAAATCTATGAAGAACTCAAAAAGATGTTTAAAATATCTTTTAGTAAAAAACCGGAGGCATTCCTTTTAGGTTTAATTACAAATGATATCCCTGAAAATCAAAGGAAAGTATTCCTTTATGCAACAACAGCTGCCAGGATGCTTATAGCTAAAAACTGGAAAGGCAGAAAAATTCCATCAGTGAAAGATTGGCAAATTAAATTTTGTGAATACATAAATCTGGCAAGACTCACAGCTTACATAAGGGGTCAATCGGATCAGAAATTATTAAAAGAATGGGGTTGTGCTAAAGACTATATGACGAAACATTGTTTTGGAGTTAGTATATTGGTATGTAATGAATGATGCTTTACAGGGTTAAAGAATAAGAAAAATGGTGTAAAAAAGCACAAAGATGGAAGTAATCTAATTAGACACAACAATACAGTAAGAGTAAATTTTTTGAGGTCTTAGAACAAAGGAAGGAAGTCAATTTGTGTTTATGTACGTAATGATATGGTTTTGTTCTGTAGATGTGTGCTTTTTTGTTTTTGTTTAGTTTAGTTTAGTTTCCTTTGCTTTTTTTCTTTTTTCTTTTCCCTTTCCCTTTTTTGTTTTTTTTCCTATATGTTCCCAGGATTTTTGTCTGGATAGTATTATTTTGGATTCAATGTTTGTAATTTTTGTTATGATTCTGCATTGAAAATAAAAAAACTCAAAAAAAGAAAGAAAGAAAGAAAGTAAAATCTCTCACTGCCTCCATTTCTTCCCCTTCTATTTGCCAGGAGGTGATGGGCCCAGTGGCCATGATCTTCGTTTTTTTGATGTTGAGCTTCAGACCATATTTTGCACTCTCCTCTTTCACCCTCATTAAAAGGTTCTTTAATTCCTCCTCACTTTCTGCCATTAAGGTTGTGTCATCTGCCTATTTGAGGTTGTTGATATTTCTTCCGGCAATCTTAATTCCGGATTGGGATTCATCCAGCCCAGCCCAGCCTTTCGCATGATGAATTCTGCATATAAGTTAAATAAGTAGGGAGACAATATACAGCCTTGTCATACTCCTTTCCCAATTTTGAATCAGTTGTTCCATATCCAGTTCTAACTGTAGCTTCTTGTCCTACATAGAGATTTCTCAGGAGACAAATGAGGTGATCAGGCACTCCCATTTCTTTAAGAACTTGCCATAGTTTGCTGTGGTCAACACAGTCAAAGGCTTTTGCATAGTCAATGAAGCAGAAGTAGATGTCTTCCTGGAACTCTCTAGATTTCTCCATAATCCATAATCTCTAGCTTTCTCCATAATCCAGCGCATGTTTGCAATTTGGTCTCTGGTTCCTCTGCCTCTTCGAAATCCAGCTTGCACTTCTGGGAGTTCTCGGTCCACATACTGCTTAAGCCTTCCTTGTAGAATTTTAAGCAAAACTTTGCTAGCATGTGAAATGAGTGCTATGAGAAAATGAGAAGCTATGAGCTATGCCGTGCAGGGCCACCCAAGATGGACATGTCATAGTGGAGAATTTTGACCAAACGTGATCCACCTGGAGCAGGAACCGGCAAACGACTCCCGTATCCCTGCCAAGAAAACTCCATGGACAAATTCTTACTACAGGGAGGTAATTCTGTAGGAAGGCAAAGAAATGGGTTGGATCAGACACGGGCAAAGAATAGGGGAACTTCTCTAGTCATAAGCTTAAAAGCTTAGTATACTGTATATTAATGTGCCTATAATATTTAATAGTGGACCCCTGTTGCCTGTTCACTCTATGAATAATGGTTGACAAATTCTTTAATGCATTGCCTTGTTCTGGAGTCCAAAGTCAAATGTCTTCCTGAGCCTTGCCAGGTGTGGAGAGGTGGAGGCTGGGAGGCCTTCCCTAATCTTTACAAATGATTAGGCTTTAAATTCGGCTTTGCAATTTCATGTACAGAATTGGGTGTGTGGGTGGCACTTCCAGATTAATTAATTAACACGTCATCTTAAGGTGTGAGCTCGCTTGTTTACTTGAAATATTTATAAACGCCTCTCTTCCTCTTACAGGTGCTTGCAGGGAACATGGTTATGTTGGGCTTAGCTCAATAAACAAACATTAGCCTTAACGTGTCTGAGGTTTTAGTTTTCATATCCTGTGTTATATGATAACTGTAATAATGCAAAAGTAAATGCATTCTTCATTTCCTGCACAAAAATGTGTGGAAATATTTGGTGGTAAATTTTTTGCTGAACCTGTTAGAAATGTGAGCCATTAACAAATTATCTTTGAAAGCTGCAATTTTTTTAACAGGAAAAACAACTTGAGGTCATTCGCTGACAAAGTGGGTTTATATTCTTTTTCTAAAGCTCTTTCTAAAAAAAAGAAAAGGAGGGAGGGAGTGTTGAACAGGATATGTTTTGAAT